TGCCAGAGGTATGAGCGGAGGAAAGAGTCTGTGGACCCAGAAGAGCCACGCAATCGACCTAAGAACTCAGGCTCCTCTTAGGCGTGTATATTCACTCACTTAACCACTCATTCATTCATTTATTCCTCTCTCTCTCTTTATCCCACCCTCTTCTGCTGTCCCACCCAACAGCTGCCACACATCCAACAGCAAATACTGCTGGGAGCCAGCACACAAGATCCCACCCATGACAAGGTCATGAGGAGAAGACCTGACAAGCAAGGCATATCAGGATTCCAGGGATTTCGAAAAGCTGCCCCCGGCGCTCACCTTAAAGATGACCTCTGTCTTTCTGACGCTTGCTTTAATAGGCTACTCCCTAATTTCTGTGACACAGGAAGAAGGCCTTCCCCGATTCCTTTTTAAATAAGAATCAACTTAGAACTTTAATCAATATGTCTCCCGGGTGGTAGGAGGCTGTAAGAGGTATGAGGGAAGGAAAGAGTCTGTGGACCCAAAAGAGCCACACGAATGACCTAAGAACTCAGGCTCCTCTTGGCCGTGTTTATTCACTCATTTTTTTTTTTTTTTTAGTTCTACCACTTTATTGCTACCAACCCATCTCCCTCCACCCTCGTGCACACATGCTCAGTCATGTAATCCCATGGACTTCAGCCCGCCAGACTCCTCTGTCCATGGACTTTTCCAGGAAAGAATACTGGAGTGGGTTGCCATTTCCTTCTCCATTATTCACTCATTTAGCCACTCATTCATTCATTTATTCCTCTCTCTCTCTCTCTTTATCCCACCCTCTTCTGCTGTCTCACCCAACAGCTGCCACACATCCAACAGCAAATACAAAGCACTTTCCACAGAGGCCTCAGTTTATACCTCACTTCATTAGTCCCTCATGATTAACACAGGCCCCTGAAGAGTGCCCTAGATTTTCCATTTCAGAAATACAATATGGTATGATTTCTCACTTATTGCCTTCTCTGCCACATTAGCTCACAAGGGAAAGAACTATCTTTTTCAACTGCTGTATCTCCAGCACCTTACACAGGGTCCAAACTCAGTAATTAACTGTCAAATTAACGAGACACTACACAGACAACTACGGGGTACCACTTGAATTACTTAAAATTCTCTAAAACCAGAAATTGGTGTAGCCAAGACGGCAACTTGTTCACCAAAGTCACTGTTCTCTGACACTTCGGGGACACAGTTACACTAACTTCCCAACCTCTTCCGTAGTTAGCTGTGGCGTGGGATAAGTTCTGGGCCGTGGGATGTGAGTAGAAGTGATTATGCCACTGTTGAGCTGTCCCATAAAACCCTCCCACGCTTTGCCTCCACATTCTTTTTTTCTCTTCCTGTTGGACTGTTGACACACCCCTTGAATGACCTTAGAAGCTACATGCTGATACCTGGGACTCTATGTAGAAAAGACCCACCCCTCTACCCTGCTCATAAGAGAACTAAACATCTCTAAGTTTGAGTCTACCTGTGACAGCAGTTAACCTCCCCTAATCTTTACCTAGAGCCAGACATCCTGGAACGTGAAGTCAAGTGGGCCTTAGAAAGCATCACTATGAACAAAGCTAGTGGAGGTGATGGAATTCCAGTTGAGCTATTTCAAATCCTGACAGATGATGCTGTGAAAGTGCTGCACTCAATATGTCAGCAAATTTGGAAAACTCAGCAGTGGCCACAGGACTAGAAAAGGTCAGTTTTCATTCCAATCCCTAAGAAAGGCAATCCCAAAGAATGCTCAAACTACCGCACAATTGCACTCACCTCACATGCTAGTAAACTAATGCTCAAAATTCTCCAAGCCAGGCTTCAGCAATACGTGAACCAAGAACTTCCAGATGTTCAAGCTGGTTTTAGAAAAGGCCAAGGAACCAGAGATCAAATTGCCAATTGCTGGATCATCGAAAAAGCAAGAGATTTCCAGAAAAACATCTATTTCTGCTTTATTGTCTACGCCAAAGTCTTCGACTGTGTGGATCACAATAAACTGTGGACAATTCTGAAAGAGATGGGAATACCAGACCACCTGACCTGCCTCTTGAGAAACCTGTATGCAGGTCAGGAAGCAACAGTTAGAACTGGACATGGAACAACAGACTGGTTCCAAATAGGAAAAGGAGTACGTCAAGGCTGTATATTGTCACCCTGCTTATTTAACTTCTATGGAGAGTACATCATGAGAAACGCTGGGCTGGAAGAAGCACAAGCTGGAATCAAGATTGCCAGGAGAAATATCAACAACCTCAGATATGCAGATGACACCACCCTTAAGGCAGAAAGTGAAGAGGAACTGAAAAGCCTCTTGATGAAAGTGAAAGAGGAGAGTGAAAAAGTTGGCTTAAAGCTCAACATTCAGAAAACTAAGATCATGGCATCTGGTCCCATCACCTCATGGGAAGTAGATGGGAAGACAGTGGAAACAGTGTCAGACTTCATTTTTTTGGGCTCCAAAATCACTGCAGACGGTGACTGCAGCCATGAAATTAAAAGACGCTTACTCCTTGGAAGGAAAGTTAGAACCAACCTAGATAGCATATTAAAAAGCAGAGACATTACTTTGCCAACAAAGGTCCGCCTGGTCAAGGCTATGGTTTTTTCCAGTGGTCATGTAAGGATGTGAGAGTTGGACTGTGAAGAAAGCTGAGTGCCAAAGAATTGATGCTTTTGAACTGTGGTGTTGGAGAAGACTCTTGAGAGTCCCTTGGACTGCAAGGAGATCCAACAAGGAGATCAGTCCTGGGTGTTCATTGGAAGGACTGATGCTGAAGCTGAAACTCCAGTACTTTGGCCACCTCATGTGAAGAGCTGACTCATTGGAAAAGACCCTGATGCTGGGAGGGATTGGGGGCAGGAGGAGACCGGGACGACAGAGGATGAGATGGCTGGATGACATCACCGACTCGATGGGCATGAGTTTGAGTAAACTCCGGGAGTTGGTGATGGACAGGGAGGCCTGGCGTGCTGCGATTTAGGGGATCGCAAAGAGTCAGACACGACTGAGCGACTGAACTGAACTGAACTGAATTTTTACCAGCCAGAAGCTGTGTGTCACTTTCCTAGGGAGAAATAAAAGGCTTTCAGAGGACAGTAAGCTCTTTCTTGGTATACAGGACTGACAAAAGTCCTGCTTGTTCATGATTATCAGGGAAGATAGTAACCTTGCCTTGGGCTGGCCTGGGTGTGGCCCACAACACAGAATAGGCTGGATGAATTCTGGTGATGTCAGAACATAGATTATCAGCTTGCTTGCCTCGTCTCCTCTCAGAAGTACAGGGCCCCATGGGCCCTAGACAGATGTCCAGTTGCCTTCTCAAGTAGTCTGGCCCTGACCTCATCTGTGCTTACCTGGCAAAAATGTCACAGCACATTGCTCTGCTGTTGTCAGAGCCAGCTGGGGAGAAACTGCCAAGAGCTTTTTCAAAAAGCCACAGCAACCTACACTGCCACAGGACAATGGGTGGCAGCGATGACTCGCCTTCTAATAAAACCTGTGGCTGAGCGGACAGAGATGCAACCTCAGACAGAATGCATTTCCCGGTGGCAAACCTCTTCTTGCACCATAGATGCGTCTGAGTCTGTTGTTTCTCCTGAACACTTGGGACTTCAAAGAGAATTCCTCTCCCTGACAGACTGGAACATGTAGGTAACTGCATTACATTAAGAGAATTAGTAGCACGTACTATTCATAACTGCTTGTTCCATCTAGGTCTAGGAAACTATTAAAAGGATAAATTATTGACTAACTCTTTTCACTTTTCCTCATTGCAGTTTTATTTCAAGAACTTCCAGATTCAGTGGTTCTTAACCTTTAGGGGATCATGAACCCTTTTAATAGTTTGTTGAAATGCCTTGACCCTTTCATTAAACAAAATGTCCACAAGTGCCTGCACATATTACGTATGATTTCAGGGTACACACAGGATGCCAAGTCCATCCACTCATTCCAGGTTCATGGACCCTCCAGTGCTGCTGCTGCTGCTGCTGAGTCGCTTCAGTCGTGTCCGACTCTGTGTGACCCCATAGACGGCAGCCCCCCAGGCTCCGCCATCCCTGGGATTCTCCAGACACGAACACTGGAGTGGGTTGCCACTTCCTTCTCCAATGCAGGAAGGTGAAAAGTGAAAGTGAAGTCGCTCAGTCGAGTCAACTCTTTGCGACCCCATGGACTGCAGCCCACCAGGCTCCGCCGTCCCTGGGATTCTCCAGGCAAGAGGACTGGAGTGGGTGCCACTGCCTTCTGCGACCCTCTAGTGCAGAGGGCAGCAACTTTTCCCTTGAAAGGGCCAGAGAGTAAATATCCTGGGCAGACCACATACTGTCTCTGTCACAGCTACTCAACTCTGCTGCTACAGGAGGAAAGCTGTCCTTCCCGTGTTCCAGACAAACTTAATTCGTAGATATCAAAATCTGAATTGCATACAATTTTCCTAAGTCACAAAATATTCTTTTTTTTCATTCTTTTTCAGCCATTTAAAAAATAAAAACCATTCTTAGCCAGTAGCTTATACAAAAACAGGTGACAAACCATAGTTTGTCAACTCCTGCTGGTAAGGCATGGGTTCTCTAGAACAAAGTTTCTATCTCTATTTTCACTAACTTCTAACTGAAACTTCACATTACGAATGCAGGCAGCAAACCTTAGCGTCGGCAGAAATCATAGGTGCATTCATGCCACGTTAGAATGGTGGCAGGTAACACAAAATGTTGATCAGGCTCATCATTATTTTTAAATAATGGCCATTATTAGATCTCCTACTGATTCTTGCCACTTAAATGTGCTGATAAACACATATCATTATATGAAAATTCTGATTCAATAACTATATTTCAAAATAATTGATTTCCATTTGAATACTATATATTTGATTTAGAGCATCTCAAAACAGAATTCTGAGAAGTATGCCAGGGCTTTCACCAGACACCAAAAAGGTCCACAGCATAGAAAAAGTGAAGAGGGTCTAGGCAGGCAAAGCCAGAGCATCTCCTACCAGAGCATTCACATCTTCTGTTTTGTGGATGAGCATCCGTATCTCCTCTGGATCACCGCTGAAGATTGCTTGGACCAGTGGTGGCTGTAAACACAGGAGAACTGGAATTAGAACTATAATTAAATAATTGGATTGTACTCAGATGCAGATGGATAGGAGATCTATTCCCCAAAAGTTTATTCAACAATTATCAATTGGCAGATATAGATGAATATGGCTCAGGTCCACCCTTGCTCCAAGTCCAGTAGGGGAGTTATTTGCATCAAGAAATAACTATAATATGATTTGAAAGCCATGACAGGACAGTCACATCTAATCTGGGGCTATGAGTGTAACATGAAAATCACCACTAGTTGAAAATGTCCTTGGATGGTCCTTAAATTACCTATCAAGAAAACTACCAAATCTGTGTTTTTGTGCATAGGACCCCCTGCCGTTCCCCAGTTTCTCATTAGACAATGCTCCCTGGACCTTTTAAACAATTCTGTTCCTAGACGATGTTAGTGGCCATGTTTCTGGCCTCCTGAACACTTGCTTTTTTTGGTCAAAGTTTGGAAAAGCCTTTAAATCATTCCCCCAACACTTCCCATAGCTTAGCCAATGAGCATTGAGTGCTTTAGAGGTGATTACTTTCCCATCTATTTAAAATAAGTGGTATAACGGCGGGGTGGGGAGGAAGAAGGGAGGCATTACTAAACATGTATCATTGAACTCACCTAGATTAAGCAAGCCCAACACAAGGGAAAAGGATTTATAAACTTGATGGAAAGCCAGCTGAAAGAAAAACTGGCTCCGCTTGGGTGGTAGGGTGAGAAGAGTGTCCAGAAAAGCTTCATGGAAGGCACCTTCATGAATGCCTGTGAGTTTGCAAAGAGAAAGAAGGATACAGTGGCCAGGGAATTGGAGTGTGGAAAGGTGCGGATATGCAAAGAGCCTGGTGTGTTGGAAATGCAGCCATCAGCCTGGTGACCAGGGTGTGGGAGAAAAGAGCAAAAGGAGTGGGCTCTGGGGTTGGTGCTGGGCTCCCCCACATGGCGAAGGATCCGGTTCAAAGCCAGTTCTGCCGCTTGCCAGTTACATGTTGAGCCCATTTCCCATGTGTGATCTGGGGCCAAACATGATCTTTGCTGTCCAACTCATCAAAGGGTTGGTTTTAGGAACAACTGAGATAATAAATGGGAAAACCTTCTATAAGCCTACACGCTGCATGCTAATTCGCTTCAGTCGTCTCTGACTCTTTGCAACCCCACGGACTGTAGCCCACCAGGCTCTTCTGTCCATGGGATTCTCCAGGGAAGAACACTGGGGTGGGCTGCCACGCCCTCCTCCAGGGGATCTGCCTGATTCAGGGATGGAATCCAGGTCTCTTACGTCTCCTGCATGGGCAGGTGGTCTCTTTACCACTAGCGCCACATGGGAAGCCACACAACCCTATCCAAATAACAGATGTTTTCACTAAGAAATGTTTATGATGTCAATATGGAGCATTTGACAATTTTTTTTTCAAAGTTTAAAACCTTGGTAATAACTCACATGCACACGCAACATACATATATTTACTTATAAGTTTTGGAAATACTTTAGCCCTTGCAGGCAATTGGATGGTGGCAGTTTCCCAAACTTGTCTGATCGTAAGTATCACCTAAGATGCTTACTAAAACAATATTCCCAGATCTCTCCCCTGGAGATTCTTGGGTGGGGTCAGAGAACCCAGACTTCTAATAATCACCCACTTAGTTATCAGGAACCGTGCGCACTGACCTAAAGTGACATGGTTAGAATTATCTGCCTCAATCTCTATGTAATCTATATGAAATTCCAAGTCCTGACTTTCCCTACAAACTTTCTTTTCTCTTTTTTACCTTCCTGTTGCCTTTCTTACATGTTTTGATGATATTCCTTGTTATTTGAGGGGACCAAGTTAAGTATTGTCAGTAGAACATGGTGAGAATCCTTAAGGAAACATTATATTTAAAAAAATGTTAGGGACTTCCCTGGTGGCCCAGTGGTTAAGAGTCTGTGTTCCCAACACAGGGGACACAGGTTTGATCCCTGGTCAGGGAACTAAGATATCTCATGATGCAGGGCGTGGCCAAAAAAAAAATATGAAACTGTAGATAAGTATTACCACCTGTCAGGAATCACAGTTTTTCCTCTGCCATCAAAGTTTCCACCAAGTAGACAGATGTATATCTCTTTTTGGTCCCGAACACTCTCTTAATCCTACCTTCTTGCCAAGGTGTCTGATTCAAAGATAGTTTCTCAAATTACCAACAATTAAGTAGCAGGAAAGAAGTCTTGAAAAGAATGCAAGTTTGACCAGTTGGTGTGAGCTGGCACTCTGCCCAAGATAATAAGTTCCTTCCCTACACTTGCTGACTACTTGCCACGTCTCCAGACACCCTGCCTCAAGGCAAGGACCATATTTCAAGTAAAATAGACAGTCATGTAAAGTCAGGATTTCAACAAAAATATCTGACTCTGGCATATCAACTTCATAATTCTCTATCTGCTGTGCCTGTTGCCAAATGCTTGTGCATATTTTTCTGCCTTTTTGAACCTTAAGAGAAAGCAAATACCAAACCCCAATAACTGAGGGATGACAAGCAGAGGCAGATGAGATTTTAGTGTTGAGTCAACAGTGATCAATCAACAGTTGAGAAGTTAAGATTCTGAGAAACAAACCCACCCCAGTTTAATGCACCACTGGTTAGTCACTTTAAGGAAACACAGCTAGATAAGCAAAGCTCCTCTTCACTCTTGAGTGAAAGAATGCACGCAGATATTCAGACCTCACACCACTCAAGAAACGCAAGGGTTCCAAGCTATGGCTGGAATGTACCCAAGGAGAGCCACCCTGCAAAGCTGCCAGACAAGGATGCCAGTACAGCCCTCCAGGGAGTGTGGAACTTTCCAAACACCTCCAGGCCCAGTCCCTGAGACCCACCCGAAGGTTATCATCAATGCAGAGAATTCCCAGCAGAGGATGGCATGCATACTTCCTCAGTGTCTCCCTCTGCTAAAAGCTGCTTTGGGGAGTATCGTCAATGCTCAGAACTCCTAGCATCCATTGGAAAGAAGCTGACAATTGTAATTCTTTCAGTCACATGTACACACCAATAAACCCACGTATACATGGCTACATTTTGCTCATGTCTGTACTCATCTGCATCTACATTCATGTCTGTATGCACAGAGATACATGCTGATTCACACACAAATCCCTCCCATTCCCTGTGGAATAGAAAAGTGCCGGTTCTCTGAAGTCTGGCTAACTGGACATTTCTGCCCCAGCTGGGCTGTATGGTCACTGTGACATCACTGTTTTCACAACTGTGAATCCAGGCACTATGAGATTCCAAATCAGAACTTCAGACACATGCTTTGCCATGTGTTTGCATGCACGAAGTTCTTGAACTAAATTCCTATAACTCTTGAGCTAGTGGTACTTCTCTAAAAAAAAAAAAAAAAAACCACAGTACAGGCATTTCTTTTTTTCTCTACACTTCTGTCAGGCAAGTGTACGCTCCTTGGTTCTTTGAGAGAGAGAGAGAGAGAGAGAGAGAGAGAGAGAAAGCGCCCTTTGCTCCTCTTCTTGTGTGTTTTTTTCTTCCCCCTGGGCCTGCCCTACGCAAACTGGGCTTAGGCAGGAGCACCCGTCTACGTGAAGTCCTCACTCCGGCCCTCCGACCTTCCTTTGACCTTCCTCTGTTCTATTTTCACGGGCTTTTCCCTTCCTTGTCTTTTAGCCACTACCATTTTGGACTCCTTTTCCCGATTCTAACTACCTAACACTTCCAAATAAAACACATCATATAACACTTTGACATTCCCTTTTGTTGGGATTTTAATTGGATCCTGCTGTTTTATTTTTCCCTATGCAAACACTTGCCCTGAGAATAAATATTTGGGAAAAGATACATCTAAATACTGTCTCTATTACATGATTTTAAGAAAGAAGGAATATTCTAATTACAGTACTCTTGTTCATAAGCACCAAGTACTTATACTCTGTTGACTATTTGGAAATCACCATATTTTTGCCTTGACCTTGATAGGGCCTTCCATGCCAAAGAACAGAGTCCCAAGCCTTGGCACATACAAGAATTTTTTTTAGAAGTTTCACCCATTTCAATGCCAGCATATACAAAATACAAGTGCTTTGTGTGCAAATTTGAATAAACACATTTTTAACAAGAGTCAGAGTTGTGAAAAACAAACAGTGGCAGGGAAAAGAGAGAGATTCTGATGTCATGAAACCACTGGTTATCAATCCCTAAAGAAATTTAAATTCTTAAAAAGAGATATGCAGCTTCAGTTACCAGAACTGTTTTAGCATGTTTAGCAGCTGTAGGCTGGAAATGATTTCCTTGTGCTGTGGATACTGGCACAGTCCCTCATGTGGACTCAGAAGGATACTTCCTGGGTTGCTTAACCAGCGGCACCAGTAGGGGGTCAATACTCAGACGGTACCTGTCATTGTCTTCAATACCACCAACCACCAGCACTCTACTGGGAGAAGAGTGAACTGGTAGGGCCGTTCACACTCGCCAGAGTGTGAACAGCTGCCTTCTAGAGGTGACTGTCTGCCAGCCGGATGGCATTTGACCCCTCTAAGACAGAAGAGCAGAGCAGAAGCCCCTTGAATTTGGCAACCATCAGGAACAATGTGGCCATTGCTGACATCAGGAACTGAAAATCTATCTGCAAAAAGCCACTTTCACTACCCACATCCCCTATCAGCCCACCCACTACAGCATTTTTCTATTTTATTCTCAGTCTTTGAGAACAAATGAGGAAAACAGCCCCAAGACGCTAAATCAAATAATGTACTGACAGCAGCGTTCTCAGACTGTGAAGCAGAGTAACAATTCCACTAGGGGGAGCAAGAAGGTAATTTGTTACCTGGGAGGTAAAGAGTGAATTCAAGTTGTGTAATTAAGGTAGCTAGAGGATCCACTTTATTCAAGACATGAAAGGATTCAAGCTTCTGGGAGAATCCTTAGTAATAAGTAAACACAACCTGAATTACACCCCAAAACAAACATTTTTTACACTTTCCTATTAATCCCTGAGGGTCCAGG